CAACGAATTATGCAACATATTCATCTCATAATGCAACATGTTCATCTTAATATATGCAAGTCGAGGATTGAACATGCGAAGAAAGTGGTAAGAATTGTTTTGTTGGTTATCTTTCATTTGTAACAAGACAATATGTTCAGTAATGCTATTGCTAATGTTAAATTATTCGTGACTAGATAATGCGACTGGAGGGTATTATGGCTGCGTGGGATGGGGATGGGTTCATTCATAAAAATATTACCGACACGTACAAATATGTCATCGACCCAAATGTTCCCCAACTACGGAATGGGTACGGACATTAGTCATTTAAAGCAACTGACAAAACATATTATTTTCGAATCGTTTCCTATGAATATTTTTTAATTTTTTTAACTTTTAATTGGTTTTTCGGCAGATACGATTGTGGCCTCTATGTGTGTATTCATATGTTATGTCATTCCACTCCATCTACAGATTTAATTTGGCGTGGACTCAACGAGGTAATGACACTGTCATTAGCAAGTGTTGTTTAATTTGCACATTAGGGAAAAATCGCATTTCATGGTGCCTAGTGGTAATGTGCTTGGTCATGTCATTTCATCTAAAGACATTGAGGTCGATAAAGCTATAATTGATGTGATTGAACAACTTCCACCTCCTTTGAATGTTAAAGGAATTCGTAGTTTTCTTGGACATGCCAGTTTTTACCGGAGGTTTATCAAAGATTTTTCAAAAATAGCATGACCATTGTGTGCCTTGCTTGCTCTTGACGTGCCTTTTGAGTTCAATGATGAGTGCTTACGTGCCTTTAACGAATTGAAACATAAGTTAGTCACCGCACCGACTGTAATGCCCCTAAATTGGTCTCTACCTTTTGAAATTATGTGTGATGCTTCAAACTATGCGGTGGGGGCCATTTTGGGGCAAAAGGTCGATAAACGACATCACGTGATTGCATATGCTAGCATGACCCTAAACGATGCTCAAATCAATTACACCACGAACGAGAAAGAGTTTTTAGCTATTGTCTTTGCATTAGAAAAGTTTCGTGCGTATGTTGTTGGTTATAAGTGTAATATCCCGTCAGTTTATTAATATAAATCATGTTTTAATTCCGATTTATTAATATTGTTGAGTATTAATTTTCGAAATTAATTATTTTCAGTCGAGATTACCCGAAATTATTTTCGACGTTCCGTTTACGTTTGGAATAATTTTGGTAATTAAGCGTTACGTTTAATTAAATAATTAAACATAATGTAGTGATTAATTTACAATTAATCACAATTTTATGTTAAAAAGTTGTATGTATTTTTTTCCAAATTATGCTCAAGGCCGTAGCCATTTTCTTCAAAGTGAAGGAAACAAATTCCTTCTTCTTAAAAGTATCCACACGTGGCTTAAGAAGAAAAGTTAAGTGATGAGTCATAAGTGTTGAACCCCTATTTTTGTGGCAAGTGGCATCAAGGAAGTGAGGCCACATTACCCCTTCATCACCCCATCTTGTCTCAGCCCTCTATAAATAGCCTACCTTGGGAAAAATTTTCCCACTTTCCTTAAGAAATCTATTAGCATATATCATACCTATATTATAAGAGTGAAAGACTTAGTGAGATTTGGTGAGAAGTTCTTGAGCTAGTAGCCGCACCGCACGCACCGCACGGCGACGCAAAGCACGCGGAGAGCCACACACGAACACGGGAGTCCGAGGAATTGCTGTTAATCGAGTATAATCGGAGGTAATTCCCGTGTGATTATAGGCTGAGATTAACATGTTCTTTAAGTTCACTTTTCAGTTCAAGTTCGTATGCGTGTCGCATATCGATTCGGTCGTGCGAGTAGCCGTGTCAAGTCATGCTATGTTTTAATTCAAATTTACTGATCAACCTTCGCATGTTCAGTCATTATGTGTAAAATCGTGATTATTCAGCTTGAGTTGTTCGGGAGAATATTCATATTGTGCGGTGACTCGGCTGAGGGACGTGGTCGCGCACGTAGCGCGCACCACGGGCCGGTCACTTGTAGCAAGTATGTTAAGTTCAAGTCCTTCGAGTATATCATGCCCATTTATTCAGTAAATATTGTT